TGGGGTGGGGGCTGGAAAGGAGCTCAGCAGGGTAAGCCTTTTGCCCCCACTGTCAGTCACAGACTCGCAACCTGCTCCCACTGCTGCCCTTCACCCCAAGTCAGCAGGACTCCCCTCTGCGTCCTCTTGCAGCTCCTCCCATCTGGCACCTGAGGATGGCGGCTGTTTGGGTTTGCTTTCCTCTTGGAAAGTCAGTGCTTTTTTCCTTCTCAGCTCATAATTCTCGTTAAAAGGAGCCCAGAACATACACGTCTGTGACTGACCACAGAGGAAACGAAAACAGTGTCTTTCCAGAGGGACTGGACAAGGCAGACATTGGTTAGAGGTGGAATGGGCAGGAGGGGGGAGCGTGTTGCAGCTCCCCTGGAAGGCTCCCAGCCGCTCCCTCGCACCCCCGCCCCTTTCTCTCTATGCAGAGGCACCCACATGCAGTGTAATTGAGTCATTTGGCATCTGCAGCTGGGAAACAGACTTCCGGAGACTGAGGCATGCCTTATGGTTTTTTAAACAGTGAGCAGCAGACCCATCATTTTCCTATAGCCTCGGGTCGTAGCAAAGAGCAGGAGGCTGCCCTTGGCTAGGAAACAGGGCAGGGTGCGGAGGGGAGGGGACGTGGAGCATCTAGCCATACGCAGCCATAGATCTGTGCCCTCTGACCAGCTGTCCAGTAGAATTTTCTGCAGTGATAGGTGTGGCTATTGAGTACTTGAAATGTGGCTAGAGCAACTACAGAGTTGACTTTATAATTTGATTTCCTCTTTATTCATTTAAATAGCCACATGTGGCTAGTGGCTGCTGTATTAGACAGTGAAGCCTGAGACCAGAGAGAAGCCCAGCCAATCCAGGGGACCCCTCCATCTGTCCCTGTCCTGTGAGGCTCATTGCTCTGCCCCCTCACTCCCTCTGTGGCAGTTATTGTGCCCAGTGAGATGGCCTCTCGGGGCATCCGCTGAGCTCTCAGGTACCCCCGCTGACAAACAGAAAGGCCTCTAGGCCCACTTCCCTTTGTCTCTTGCACAGATCGATGCATCTCTCCATTTAAAGATTATTTATGGAGTACCATTCACCAGAGAGACAAAGATAAATGACGAGCCTCTGCCCTGAGATTATTGTTTAAATTCCACAGAGGGAACCAGGATGAGAGCCAGTGGAAAACCGGCTCCCTTTTCATCCCTCGTAGAGAGATTCTGGGCGAACCCATCTTGTCTTCTGGCTGGAAAAAGAGACTTTCCTCTCTCCAGGTCCAGGTGGCCTGGCAAGGCCCTACATTCCTCCTGAGCTGTGAATTCCAAGTACGCCTCAGTTTCTTCCGTTTCCGAAACGAAGTCACAAGGTCTGGGCCACCCAGTTTTCTCTGAAGTTAGATTATGAGGTTAAGATAGAATGGGAACTACCACCAGCCTGGGAGCCGGCTGTTAATGATGCCAGGGAGGGACTGAGAGCCCAGGTGTGGGAGGGCAGATTGCAGGGAGCAGCAGGTCCCTGGCTGGACCCATCCATCTCTGTAACCAGGGAGCGGGGTGGTATGAAAACGTTACTTAAGAACATAGGCCTGTCAATGTTGCTAAAGCATCCTGTCCCTAGCAGATAACAGCGGCAGCAAGAGGGCACATTGGAGACAGTGGTGGGGCCTGGATGGGGAGTATGCTTTGGGCACCTGTGCTGTGAGTAGATCTGCCCACCCTAGGGTGCCTCTGGGTGCATAGCGGCCAGGCCTGCACCCAGACACCCTCTGTGTTTGCTGGGACATGAGAACGGTGTTCCTCAAACAGGTGTTCATGTGAGCACAGGGAGGGCCCATGTACCCGTCTGTGCCTCCGTCAATGTTACTGCACCCGTGTGGGTGGGTAGCAATGGCCAGCATTACATGGCAGGGGCTGGGCTATCGGAGAGCTGGTTGGTTGGCAGGACTGGGGGTAGAGCAGAATCACAACCCACCCCAAAGGTAAATATCAGGACAATATGATAGCTCTCACTCTCTCTGTCATTGGCAAAATCATGAAACTAAACGAGAAGGAAACAATACTGAGCATTCCACATCTCCCATCCTCGGCAGAATCCTTTTGAAATGACATCTAGAGATGGGAAGGGAGGTGCCAGATATGTCTCACTTCTTCCCCTGATCACTTTTCAATTGCAGATGAAAGAAACAGCTGAGGGTTATGCACAGATAGAGCCTTGCCCCCCTCCCCCTCCAGTTCCCACACCTGCCTTCTCCACCCTCCCGCTGTGAGTCCTCTCCAGTCCTCGCTTGTCCATCTCCCTGACACTTTAAATACGTGCTGCAGACACACACAGAGAAGGAGAGGGTTTGGTGGTTGTCAGAGAAACAGGCACACAAATTCCAGATTTTAAAAATCACTTACAGTCCCTAGCAATAAGCACCCAGGCATGCTGTGTGGTCTTCAGTCTCCGTCGCCACCTACTGGCCATGTGGAGGTAATGACATGTTTGTCCAGCAGGTTCCAGAACTCACTGCCCTCTTCTGTTCCTTGCTGTTCAGGCACAGGACCACCTCACCAGGAAGTCCTCCTTATATCTCACCTAAATCCCTTCCACAACCTCAGTCCGCTTTCTCTTGATGAAATAGCTCAGGAGCTGCCAGTCTACTTGTGCCTTCCTGCTTTATCTCAGACTTAAAGCCTTCCCAAATCGAAAGCCTATTTATGACTCAAAGCAGCTGAGTGGGGCCTGCTGGCTCTGGCATTCCAGCTCTGGGTCTGCGTTCCAGCCCTTTCATCTCCCTGGTGCTGCCCTGGCTCCGCTCCAACTTTCCACTGTCTCTCTGGAGCCTACCGGTGACCACAGGACCCTGATGAGTATCTTTGATACTCGACTCTCCCGGTGCCTAAGTAATAGGTCCCATGGGGTTAAGTGGCACCCAAAACCAGGAGGCACATCAAAGCTCTAAGCCTGCCTTTCAGAGCAGCAAAAGAGCCAGCATCGTGGGGAGGGTGCTCCCAGGAGGCCCGCCCTGGTGAGGCCAGCGGAAGGAAGGAGAGAGGGTTTGCAAAAGTGTTTTGAGCTCCTTAAAGTGGATACAGTTTGTTTGCCAGTGTCATCACTGCTTAGCCCAAAGCAACTTGAACACTTTCAGAGAAAAGACTAAGAGACTAGATGGCCTATGGGGAGGATCCCAGGCGCTGGTCCAAACCCCTGGAGGCGAGCAGCTTCCTGGGGTCTCTCCCATTAGAAAGGCGACCCCTGAGCTTGGCTTCACAGGTATCCCACACGAATCCCTGAAGACAATTTGCTGGTCCTCCAGGCCAGGCCAGAGCAGCCCGGAAGGAAACACTCATCTCTCTCCCATGGTCAGCACCCAGCCCCCTCTCCCTCCTCCCCTCACTTTATCTAGTTACAATCTTAATTGGAGAAGGGGCATGGCCACACACCCCAGAATGCCCCAGCCTTTCAATGGCAACATCTCTTGCCCTCTCCCCTACCCCAGTGGTCAAATGCGTTTTGAGGATTAGAATGCTTAGTTTTGCCCAGAGAGGTTGAAGGAAGTGTCTCCAGTCCCTCAGTAAGACTGGCTCAGTGACCCGTCCATGCCGTAGTAGGCTTTTCCTCTCCCTCCCCCCCCCCCCCCCCCCCCCGGAT